ACACGACTCTGTGGTTTGCATTCTGGGCGCTCTTTCCAGGAGTTCCTCTATATTCGATACGTATGTCTCGTTTTAATGTAAATGCTGATCGGTTGCTTGAATGTTCCCCACTGGCTTTATTTTTAGCTTCCCAGCATCTCGATCGCGAACGCAATGAGCCCGTGCTTGCCGTACTCGAGAAGCAGCGCATGGCGAAGCTCGGACCTCTATTCCAGAAAGCCTTGCGCGTATAAGAAGGGCAACTTTCAGTCTCCAAATTCACCAAGCACCCAAATCCCGAAATGAGCACCGAATTCGACTTCATCGTAGTAGGAGGTGAGACTACATCCTTCTCCTCGACCCCGTCTCACAAATTCCAGGTGGTACTGCTGGTTGCGCCGTCGCTGGGCGTCTGGCAGAGAATCCCAAGGTCAAAGTCCTCGTCATCGAAGCAGGTATCACCAACCCAGGCGACGTCGACGCGATCACGACTCCAGCCCGCGCCTTCGAGCTGCGCGACAGCAAGTATGACTGGGCGTACAAGACCACCATGATCGACCGCCCCGAGTATACGCGCGTGGAGAAGCCCAACACGCGCGGCAAGGCGCTCGGAGGGAGCAGCTGCCTCAACTACTACACCTGGATCCCCGGGAGCGCTGCCACATTCGACGAGTGGGCTGCGTATGGCGGCGATGAGTGGACTTGGGAAAAGTGCAAGTCGTACTTGTACAAAGTAAGTTGCCTGATATGAAGTGCTATATTTTTCTGACGCGCACCACTCCACCAGCCAGCGACCTACCACGACGACCAGAAGCTCTTCTCTTCTTCGCTCTCTTACATCGGCCAGGGCGGGCCCATCCCCGTCTCGCACTCGGACCTCATTGCTGAAGTCCGCCCGTTCCGCGAAGCTCTGCAGGAGGCGTGGGTGAGCAAAGGTCATGCTTTGACCGAGGACGTGCACAACGGCACCATGAGCGGCTTGTGGAAGTCGATGAACAGTATCTACGACGGTAAACGATCTTCGTCATGGCTCTATCTCGTCGGTAAAACGAACGTCACGGTCTTGGGCAAGACCAACTCCAAGAAGCTGATCATCGAGAACGGCCATGCCGTCGGCGTGGAGGTTATCCGCGAGGACGGGACCGAGGAGTCCTACAAGGCAAAGCACGAGGTCATCGTCTCGAGTGGCGTGTTCGAGTCACCCAAGCTTCTGATGCTGTCCGGGATTGGACCCACAGAGACGCTCAAGGCGTTTGGAATCCAGCAGATCGTCGACTCTCCGAACCTCGGGCAGAACCTTCTCGACCACCCCATTCTCCCTCATGTGTTCCGTCTCAAGGATGGTTACGGCCTTGACCACCACCTGCTGCGCGCCGGCCTCGAGAAAGACGCTGCTGTGTCGGCGTACCGCTGGAAGAACGCCGGGCCCTACACGAGCGGGCTGCTTGAGCTAGTCGGACTGCCGCGCATTGACGACCGCCTGCGCGGTATTCCTGAATACGAAGCGGCAAAGGCGGCGAATGGTGGGAAAGATCCGTTTGGCCCTGCGGGCCAGCCACACTTCGAGATCGACTTTGTACCCATGTTCTGCGACGCATTCCAGTGGCACATCCCGACTCCGCCCAAGGGTGAGCTCTTGTTCAACTCGTACGTATCCCGTTCTGATGTCAAGTTCGCAGGGGACTACTTCACGATCATCGTGGACCTCCTCCGCCCGCTGTCCAAGACAGGCACCGTGACGCTCAACTCGACGAACCCGCTCGAGCAGCCGAAGGTCAACATCAAGTATGTTTTCCTCTTTCATTTTATTCTTCTACCTTGTCTCTGACACGTTCCGAGTTTCTTCGCAGAGGAGTTGGACATAGTTGCAATGCGTGAAGGCATCCGCTGGGTCGACGATATCCTTATGACTGGTGATGGCATGAAGGATATCATCGGAGAGGACTACCCGTGGCCCATGGTATATAACCTGTCTATGAACGCTCGTTCAGCAGACTAATTGGAACCGAATCGTTGTAGCCCAGGTCGTCGGACGAGGCGATGAACAAGATGATTCTGGAACGCTCGCAAACCGGGTTCCGTGCGTGGACCGACGTTTGAGAGTTCAAGCTATGTTGACTGAAATATCCCTTTCTAGATCCCTGTGGCACAGCGCGCATGGGCAAGGACATTAAGCACGGTGTCGTCGATGGCAAGCTGCGCGTTTACGGCGTTCAGAACTTGCGCGTCATCGATGCCTCGGTCATTCCTGTTATTCCCGACTGCCGCATCCAAAACTCTGTGTACATGATCGCAGAGAAGGTGAGCTCTCGCCGAGGAGTCGCCGTCTAGCTAAAGTGCATGCTGATAACATGAACAGGCTGCGGACATGATCAAAGCAGATTACCCGGAGCTGTATGCCTGAAGTTTTGGATGAACGAGGGGGCATGAATGAATCCCCCCTGCCTGTGCCTAATGCTCGCATTTAGAATACCCAATTCAATGTCCGACTCGTTGATCTTCCAGTTTGAAAACTCGTTTTGCATCGCAGTCTGACGCGATATTTTTTCAATCGACCTACACACACTCGTCTTGAAGAAATGTAAGCGTAAATCTTGGGTGTTTGCCCCAGAGATTCTTGCGGTTCTTTTTTACTGCGTTTCTCAACGGATCGGAGAATATTGGGCACGGAAAAATCGACCCGATGAAGAAGGTGAAGCACAAAGTGACCAGGCGAGGTTCGAACCGATGCTGACATTTTTCCAAATCGGATAACGAGTTCGGCCTCGTCAGTTGATATGCCTCCATCTGTGGGTTTAGATACTCAAGGTTCAATACAAAGAACCAATCCGTTTGATTCAAGTTGTTTTACAGCAGATCTCCTTGTCATTGAACTGGTCAACACCGAACACCGCCATTCATCTCCGTCATCGAAACACTTCGTTTAGCAGGGGCAGCTTCCGTTCTACACACATCAGGTCAGCAAAAAATGGGGGATATAGCTAATGAAAATTTGCGAGTGAACTCACAGCGCAGCAAGAGGGGCTGCTGGCGGTGCAACCGTCCTCGTTGCAGTCCTGCAGAACAAAAAGCGCGTCAGCAAAGGCAGGGCGGACGGGCGCCGGGAGAGATAACATACGCAGGTGGAGGGGTAGCACGTCTGGCGGGCCTTCATGGGGTCCGAGGCCATAACAGCAGTCGCGAAAAGGGCAATGACAGCGGTGATAAGGGAGAAACGCATGTTAACAGACAAAAGACTTCGAGAATGAACTAGATTGCGAGTGGTTGTAGTGGGTGAAGGCAAGCCTGAGGGAATGTACAGAGATGTGCTGCCTTTTATGTGATTCTGGCGAGCGTGTTGCTAAGGGTGAGGCGCCTAAGGAGTGGGGTAAGTGGAACGATGGGAAGTTATCGATCATTTCTTTTTTGAATTCCGAACTCTCGTGGAGTAGCGACTGCGGATGCAACAAGCCCTCAGTCAAGGTGGGCTGTCCAGCGGGTAGCATAATGAAGGTAGTGGTCGCCCTCAAAGACGGCCCCCGCCGGCCGAAAAAGGCCTCTGAGAGTTTTCAGGCGGCAGACCTTGCAAATGACGCGTCAGGACGCGCTGTCGACGCGACCCAAGTAAACGCTCAAGTCCGAGAACGAGAAAAAGCTCAGCGCCTGCTACTCCCCAGCCATCGTTGTTGAGCGATGAGCGCCAATGAACTGATGTCTTGTCGCGTTGCTGGTCCGCAGTTATTCGTACATCGCGCGAACTTTAAGTAACACGAACGGGAGAACGGGGACACTGACACACTGTAACCCTGTTAACGGATACAATCTCAATTCAGTACTGACCGCCAGTCTGATGATACAACGTGGTTTACGAGACTATGCAACGTGCGGCGGAGGCGCTCGGGGTTGGTGGTAGAGTGCTCCGAGTCCATGGGAAAGATTTGTGGCCGCCGACAATAGGCGGAAAGATTTAAACCACAGGCCACATGCAGAGATCGGGTGCCTTGAGGCACATGTAGCCAAAAGAGTACACAGTCTCATGATGGTGGCCAGTGTGTATTGAGCAAGTACTGTCACTGTTCACACCATTACCAAAGGCCGTCGGAGGATGCACTTTCGTGATTGTCTGAGACTGTGATAGAGATCCCCGTCGAAACATGTGGAGTCACCGGAGTCGGTTGGAACGGCTTTGTCGTCAAGCGTCTGGGAGCGAGTTACTGAACCGCGTATGAGTGGGAAGAGGAAGAACTCGATCATCAGGATCGTCGACTATTTGATGGGCGCGGCGAGGCAACCGGTACTGGGCCGCGGCCATCAACTTGCCGAAAATTGGTTTGCATCTGCTCCAATAGTGAACGTTTGAACCTCCAAGAAGACATGTCTCCGAGATCCTAACGGAAACTTACTTGCAATTGCAACGAAGGAATCACAGAGCTGTCTACGCTGTCGAGGACCTTGCAGCATGTTGTGTCGCGCAAGTGCTGACAAAATACAGGGCTGTATGTGGTGATTTGGAAACATCCTTGGTTTTATGCATTTCATTCCTGCCGGTAATATTGCGGACAAAATCCGACAGATGAGGGCACAGCGGACGCTGAAAATGAAGCAGCAATAAAATACAGCAAACGGTGATTGACAGGTTTGAACCAAGGCCACGTTGCCAATGCGGTAATTTCCAGGATAACCAACTACTAGTACACCATTTGCCCCAAAGATTCTTGCAGTTCCACTTTTCTGCATTTCACCCAATGGATCGAAGAATATTGGCACAAAGGAGACAGAAAAATCAACACGATGAAGGAGGTGAAGCACAAAGTTAGCGACGAGTGTCCCAATGCAGACATTGGCAATTTTTAGGATAACCAACTACACATTTGGCCGCAAGGTAGCAAGGAGAACATTGATTATAGATAAATCGGGGTTGTACGTCGTCCCACCTTCTAGCGTGTCACCCGAGGGTGGGTTAGGCAATATTGCGGCCCCAATGAGATGGAAAAAGGTGCGCGATGAACGACGATTGAGAGGAAAAGAAGCAAGGCAAAAATTGATCCGACCCAGGTTCGAACTGAGGACCGCCTGTGTTCCAGTCACGTGATCCGTAAACTGTTAGACAGAAGTGATAACCAACTACACCATCGGACCCATGAATGCTACAGAGCATGGATCCCCCTAGTACCAGAGCTTGAACATGAAAGCTTTGGTTACACTCCGAAGTACATGGAACGAGGAGACCCCAGCAGTATATCAATCAGGCAGGTCATCCAAATTGGGTGACCGCCCACGAGCCGAATCAGCTGGGTCACTCAGATCGGTGACCTCTATGAGACTTAGGGGGATGTTATATACCAAGCCGCAAGGAAGAGCTGTGCCGGTTAAGCTGGCCAGGATATGAAAGCCGGTCGGGATACGAAAGCCGGTCGGGATACGAAAGCCGGTCGGCATAGAAATGCTGAAAGCCGAAGGTGAACGGACGTGGGGGACGCTAACGCCACAGAGGTGCTGGGCGAGCTAGACTACCAGCCGGCGAAGTGGATGAAGAGCCGGACGGCCAAAGTGAACAAGGCTGTAGGATGGAGAACGACTTAGACGATGAACGATGAGTCCAAAGACGTTAATAATTAATCTAAAGTACAAGCTGGTAGATACGGGGTTTAAATACTGAAGCCGGATCTAATTATGAATCGGGAAGTACAAGGAATATAGCAAATGGAGAACATAGCCTTGAAGCGAGTACAAGGGAACATACGGATGGGGAACGTTGCATGAGGCGTGTAGATGGGAAGCATGTGGAGATCCACGTGAAGGCAGATAAACGGGAAACACTCAGAATACTTCATTGCGTGAAAACCCGTCTTCGGCCAAAGGCCAGACACTAGTCCGAAGACCGGTGGATCAGAGAATATGAACCGGAGGAAGTCCAGCGTAGTGGTGGAGTATAGTGATAAGCCGGGTGGTGTAATAAGCCAGTAAGCCGGATTCCGCCGGAGTAGGTACTGTCAGGGGAACCGCCCGTCCGTCCGTCCATCCGTCCGTCCGTCCGGCTCCGGCCCATCGCACTGCCCCGCTTCCTCGTCCGATCCTTCGTCCGGCCTCCGGACTCGCACCCCAGCCTGCGCCTCCATCCGGAACGTCACCTCCCGTCCCTCCGGACTCTGTTCCTTTCCGTCCGTCCGGCCGCTCTCACTGGCACGTGCTGTGTGATCAAGCTCGAGACCTCTGCCGATCCCTCCGGACACGTGCTACTGGCTAGTACTTAAAAAACCTCGCCTAGCGTGAGAATCCTCATCCTTTCTTCTCTTCGGATTCTCCTGCTAGGTGCGTATTCTAGAAACCTGTATTTAGTACCATTCAATTGAGTTGCTTCGGATTCTCCCGCTAGTCTCCCGCGCTCTGCGCCGAGCTGAGGTTGCCCTTACAGCAGAAGAAAGGATCTAAGGGATCAACTGGTCAAGATTGCGAAGTTTGGTGTAGACTCGGACTCGGACTGCTACGCTAGCGCTCCGGCCTCCCCGACTTCCAACCTCGACCCCTCCTCCTTGATGGACGCTCCGACGCCCGGAAGCGGGTCCGCGCCACCCGAGCTCCCGGATGTTTACATCCCGGAACCGGCTGCCGACCCCGAATCCCGGCTGACCGCGGTCGAAGGCTCTCTCGCAAACATCGAAGCCCTACTCCTCCGCGTTTTACACAACAACCAAAATCCACCCGCGACTGCCCCCGTCCCTGCCGCTCCGGCTCCGGCGGTGGGTCCAGACTTTACCACCCTCACCCCCGCAGCAAAATCGGTTCTCCGACCGAACCCCCCGGCCGTCTTCGACGGCGACCGGACCCAAGGACGGATGTTCCTCCACTCCGTCCTCACATACCTCCGACTGGTTCCGGAAGCCTTCATGGTCCACGGACAGCTCGTCGAGGAAAAACTCGTGCGGTACGCCATGTCCTTTATGGCGCGAGACGCGGCCGGACGATGGGCCGAACGACAGTCCGCAATCGTTCCGTTCCCATTCCCGTCCTGGGCGGAATTCGAGTCCGAGTTCTGGCTCCGGTTCGTCGAGGAAAACGAGCAAGACCAAGCTCTCCTCCGGCTGGAGACCCACAGCTACTACCAGGGCTCCCGCGACGTTTACCGGTACACGGACGACTTCGAGGAACTCACCGCCACGGCCGGGTACACGGATCCGCTCGTCCGCGTCACCAAGTACCGAGCGGGGCTCGACCCGAGGATCAACGCAGCGATCACCACGTCCGGAACCGCTCCGGCGCTGCTAGACTACGCCGGATGGCGTCTCCGCGCCTTCCGTCAGTACGACGCCCTCGCCCGCGTCCGAGCGGGAGCACCTCCGACTCGCGCCCCGGCTCCGGCCGCACGCCCTCGCACTGGGACGTTCCTCCCGGTCCCCTCCTTCACGCCTGCTCCCAAAGCCGCGCCGGCGCCCGCCCTTCCGCCTGGCATTCCGATGGAAGTGGACCGGACCCGCGCGCGCTTCGCACCGCGCGCTTGCTTCCGCTGCGGTGCGTCCGGACACCTCGCCCGAGACTGCCCGACTCCCTCGGACGTCCGGCACGCAGACGTCCTGGACGAGGTCGTCCGTCAACTCGGAGACGACCTCCTCGGAGAGCTCTTCGCGCGCCTCTCTACTACCGCCGGGCTTCCGACCGAGCCGGACGCCGGAGACGCGGAGCCGGAGGGTTTTCCGGACGCGGTCGAGTGAGCGGTGCGCCCTCGGTCGCGTCCCCTAATCGTTACTCCTGCCTGTACAAAGATATACCCAATAAATCAGCAGTTGAAACGAAAGACGCACCCCCTGCTCCGGTTTCCGCCCCCCGGCCGGAGCCCCCTATTCCCGCCCCGGAGGCAAAAACCCCTTCCATTCCCCGCGTCCACCGTTCGAGATGGGAACGCAAACTGCCCCGGCAGTACGTTATTGATTCCGTGGAGGGCCGGAACTCCCTGCACATTCCGTTGGAGATGCAGTCGGTAGAAACCGCGGCTAAGGTGTCCGTGAAAGGTCTGGTCGACTGCGGAGCGACCGGAGACTTCATTGACTCGGAGTACGTGATCTCCCGCAACCTTCCCGTCCGGAAGCTCTCCCAGCCTATCCCGGTCCTCAACGTCGACGGCACACCCAATGCATCCGGAGGCATTACGGGCGTAGTCGATATGGTCGTCAACTACAAGGGTCACTCAGAACGCATCCAACTCGCCGTGACGCGGCTCGGGAAGCAGCACGTCATCCTCGGTTACTCCTGGCTTCAGAAACACAACCCGGAGATCGACTGGGAAACCAAGGAAGTCCGGATGACCCGCTGCCCGACCAGCTGCAGCACCTGCCGAGACGAGCTTCGCGCCGTCCGTCGCAGCGCGAAGATCTCCGCCGCGATCCTCCGACAGCTCCGCGAAGGTCCCGTCCCGTCTATCTGTGCCATTGACTCGGAGGAGTGGTGCGGAGACGACGGGTACGATCCGGATGGCGACGGAGACGACTGTCCGGACCTCACTCCGGACCCGGACGAAGACGACGATGACGAGCTAGAAGAAGGCGACCGGATCCTCTACACCGCGTTCGCTCCGGCCGAGGAAATCCGCGCCGGGAGCACCGTCTCCCAACGGCTCGCGGAGGCCTTCGCCCGGAACTCGGCCCCGCCTGGGACCTCGGTTCCGACCTGGGTCGAGGACTTCTCCGACGTCTTTGACAAGGAGTCGTTCGACGCGTTACCGGAGCGCCGGACGTGGGACCACGCCATCGAACTCGTCCCGGACGCAAAGCCGGCCAACTGCAAGGTCTACCCGATCTCCCCCCTCGAGCAGAAGGAACTCGACGCGTTCATTGAGGATGGGCTGAGCACCGGCCGGATCCGTCCGTCCAAGTCCCCGATGGCGTCTCCGGTCTTCTTCATCAAGAAGAAGGACGGAAGCCTCCGGTTCGTCCAGGACTACCGAGCGCTCAACGCGATGACCGTGAAGAACCGATACCCGCTCCCGCTGATTAACGACCTCATTAACCGCCTAAAGGGAGCCCGGTTCTTCACAAAACTCGACGTCCGGTGGGGCTTCAACAACGTCCGGATCCGGGGAGGCGACGAGTGGAAGGCCGCGTTCCGTACCAACCGAGGACTCTTCGAGCCCCTGGTGATGTACTTCGGCCTCACCAACTCCCCGGCCACGTTCCAGACGATGATGAACGACATCTTCCAAGACCTCATCCTGTCCGGAGACGTCATGGTATACCTTGACGACATCCTCATCGCTCACTCCGATCTCGCGCGCCACCGAGAGATCGTCCGAGAAGTCCTCCGGCGGCTCCGGGCGCACAAGCTTTACCTCCGGCCGGAGAAGTGCGAGTTCGAGAAGTCGTCGATCGAGTACCTCGGCGTCATCATCTCGCACAACCACGTCGAGATGGACCCGGTCAAGGTCGCCGGAGTCGCCGCCTGGCCGGCTCCGGAGAACCGGAAGGACGTGCAGCAGTTCCTCGGCTTCACGAACTTCTACCGGAGATTCATCCGGGCTTTCTCGGACATCGCGCGGCCCCTCTTCGACCTCACCAAGAAGAGCGTCGCTTGGACCTGGACCGCTGCCGCGGCTGCCGCCTTCCAAGCCCTCAAGGATGCGGTAACCGCGGAGCCCGTCTTGGTCCTGCCCGACGAGTCGCGTCCATACCGGGTCGAGGCGGACAGCTCCGACTACGCCACCGGAGCCGTCCTGTCTCAGCCGGACGCGAACGGGAAGTGGCATCCGGTCGCGTTTTACTCCAAAAGTCTGAGTGACGTCCAGCGCAACTACGAGATCCATGACAAGGAGATGCTTGCGATCATCCGGGCCTTAGAGGAGTGGCGACACTTCCTCGAAGGTACGCAGCACCCGGTCGAGATCTGGACGGACCACAAAAACTTGGAGTACTTCCGGAAGGCGCAGAACTTGAACCGGAGGCAGGCGCGGTGGTCCCTGTACCTGTCCCGGTTTGACTTCGCGCTCCACCACCAGCCCGGACGCCTCATGGGCCGTCCGGACGCGCTGTCCCGCCGTCCGGACCACGGAGTGGGCTCGGACAACACGGACGTTACCCTTCTTCGCCCGGACTTGTTCCACGTCCGCGCACTGGAAGGTGTCGTGGTGGCCGGACCCGAGGTCCCCCTCCTTC